TTGAAATGCAGCTGCAAGTGTATTAGTGATTTTCTATTGCTTACTTGTCAAGATTTTTATTGTGTGGATGAAAAATAGTATTTCAAAACCTAGCAACATATTGACAAAAACAGAAGAGCACTTTGTGTAATTCTCTTTTGAAAAACTACCTCTTTTAGAGACAGAGATTGCCTCAGCTACTTCCATTCATATGTATCTTGATCAATAGATTTATTGATAGCTTTTAGCCAAGGTTTAATTCTTTTTTTCCTGCTCTGTTCACCATGGTGCTCACTTTTCTGAATTAAGAAACTGGAATTAGGCTCCCATAAGCAAAGCTTACAATATGCAAGTGCTCTAGGTGTAAAAGGAGGCATTTGACCTTTTGTTGCTAATCTGTGACAGGTGCAGGCTATTTTCTTCCAAATGGTGTTAATTTTCATGTGCAAATCCACCCCCTGAAACCTGCCTTCTATGTATCCACCACAGGGGAATTGGTGGTCATCATGAGCACTGTAATGGACAGCTGAGAGGGATAATCACTGATATTTCAGCACATTCACGCTTGCAACTCAGTTGTTTTTGGTGCACTTCTGTTTTCACTGCTTATTAGGGAGGCTGAAGTTAGTTATTCATTGCTGGACCCAAAAAAAAAAAAAAAAAGTGGCTGAGAAAGTTCATGTGCAGGGAACAGCACATTGTTACAAATTAGTTTCCTTTACCATTTCTGGCAAACTCATTACAAAGTAATCGCGCCCTGCACTGAAGTGCACTTCCTCTGGGACCAATAACTGTAAATAAGCAGGGCTGCAAGCTGGCTGATAAGTTGTTGTTCTGAAGATAACGGTCCTTTTTAGCAGAGTGTTTGACCTTTTTCTTTATATTGCCTCAGGCTTGTCTAAGACCCTCAAGGTCTATTTTTCATCTTAAAATTCTCTGTAGGAAAGCACAATGTGTGGTTTAAGAAGATTTTAGGATTGCTTAACATATCTATATTTTATTTTCTTGCATTTTCATGATAATTGTTACGATGCTTAGCAACTTTAGCCAGCATTTTCTTCAGCAGATTTTCTTTCTTCATGTAAAGTATACTTTTTATTGATGTAGGAAGCAATATACATTAATATTTTATGAGGAGTAAGTGTATGTTGCATGATTAATAAAATAGTAACATTGGTTTTTTCGTGACTTTTAAAGAAACTTGAAACATACTATTGACAACTTCCGCTATACAACTTTTGAAAGTATTGTGCTCTATGTTACTCAGTAAAGCAATTTAATCAAACATAGTTAAGAATTTTAAGTTGAATGATTGAAAAAAAAAAGGCTGTCTCCTTTTTGCTCAGTCTGCTAAGAATATTGAATAGGAGTATGACTGAAAATTGAGTTTTAAAAACAAACCCCAAGGCCAAGGGAAAGTCAGTTTATAGATATTTGGGAATCTGGTTTGTTCACATCTTTCCATCTGTTTACAAAAGTCTATGACATTATTTCTGTAAAGTAAATTAATAACAGGAAAAAAAATCAGATTGTACATGAGAACAAATCCGTAGTATTTGCTAAAGTGCCGGCTATCCTAAAAATTGCCTATTTTACTTTTAAGAAATACTCAGCCATTTTACAACCATGAATTCACCCAATCTGTAGAGATAAATAAAAACAAGAAATGTCTTAAAATGCTAGGAAGTTTAAATGTTGCCACTTGTCATGTTGTTGGTCTTTTTTTCCCCCTGTGGATCTCATTACTCAAACAGTTCATTAATTTTACATGTATTTTAAATAACATTATTAATATCTTATGTTTTGCAGTGTCTACTCAAAAATATAAGGCAAAACACAAACAACAGAATGAAGTTACTTAAAATAAATAATCTATTCTTATAATATAGGTCTCTTGCACTTGTTGAATTACATGATGGTGCTATCATGCAGGTGTGAACCTGAATTAAAGTAATTGCTGCTGCTTTAGTAATGAGAGCTTTTAAATTTTATTTTAAAAGGAAACTGTTGATCAAAATGGTTGCATAGTACCTCCCGCTATTTGTAACTATTTTGTTTAACTACCAAACTAGCAATGTACACAGGATGAAACATGTGAATGAGGAAAGTCTTAAAGAAGTTGTACTGGAACTAAAAAGTAGTGGTATATCATGCAAGATTGGTCTTGTCCAGCTTTTCTTAAATTCATTTCAGTACAGAAATTGTCCTCCTCTGTTTACTGTAGAGCAGAGTGTATGTATTCTAACCATTAATTAGTTTTTTGTTTTGCTCAATTTTTATCAAAAAGAAGAACACAAATATTAGGATTTTTTTTTAAAGTATTCAGGAAGCAAAAACAGTTTAGAAGATGCTTTTACATGAGAAAAAAAAATACTTATTTTCAATGATAAAATATTGAGTTGTATGGTGGATAGATAGAGGACTGTGACCAACATTTAACTCATGTTTAATAGTTTCTAATGCATTTCACTGTTTTAGCCTTGTAAGATTGGAATATATCTCGCATGTTAGAATAAAACCATTTCCCATGATTAGAGCTGTGTGAAGGCAGCTCTGTAAAACTGTTAACTTTTACTATGAGATTAACATTGGGAGGTTGATTCTTTCTCTTTGACACCAAAAAATGTTCTTTGATGGCATTATCCGATTTCTGCAAAATCTCTCTTAAGGTGAAGAAAGGTTTTGTTCTTGCAGTTTTAGGCTTTTTTTTTTTTTTTTTTTTTTAACCAAAATCTGCTGTCTTGTTTAATGACATTGCTAAGTGGGTTGAAATTAGGTTGACAGATTGCGAAGCAAAGGCTGTGATATTCCAAACAATAGTCTATTGAGTGTGAGGAACTTGTTGAATGGTAACTGAAGGCATTAGCATTAGGTGCAGCCTACTTAGCATCTGGAAGAAAGTGAAGAAATAATGCACGAATGAAAGGTCCAAATGATACTAAACTGCAAAGGGTTGCAGGTGACCCTGGCAGCTGAGACATACTGTGAAGGAGCCTAGTTACAGGCAGTTCCATAGGCAAAAAGTAATAAAATTCAATTCACAACTGAAATACAATTCACAGGAGGAAAAATAAATGCATCTACAAGAAGGGGACTATTGAAATCAACTCTTACAGATAAAGAGAGAAAACAGTCTTGTGACTCCTGGGGAATGCTACATTCAGTGACTGAATTGCTAAAAGTTCTGCTGGGTTTGCGATAGGTTTATAGATTTGTAGAGCACACTGGCTAGCAGTGGTTCCAACATCCCAGCTCTACACCAGGAGGGAATTCCCCGACATCAGTAGAATCCTCAATTGCAAATTTAAGGATCTTATGGACTCACCGAGGAAGTTCTGAACAGACCATCTGTCCTCCTTCCAGTTCAGGTCAATCTGATGTTGAAATAGAAGCTGAAATATGCAATAGGTCAGAAATCAAGGTATGAGTTTTCTTGTCTGTATTTATTTCTTTTCTTAATAATTTTTTGGTTTATCTTGCCTTACAGGGTGCCTTACATGATCTTTGAACTTATAAAGTAAAAGGAATGAGCTATTATTTCCTTACTTGAAAATAGTTCCGTCAAAAATATTCCCTGTATGAGGAATTACTGGGCTCGAGGTGGGGGTATGTACACCCAGCAACTCACAGGCTGTACCTGCTCCACAGTGGATGTTCATCCAGCCCGTTGCCTTAGTGGGATGACCCACTGCCATCCCATGCACACATCAGGGTGCAGGGACCCCAGGTGATCCGGGGAGCTACGTCCAGACTGCTTGGACCTGCGTCTCATTCATGTCATCTCCTAGTGACTGGTGAGTCAGGCTCTGCAGTTGGTAGCCAGACTCTGATATTATCC